TAAATTTATTATATCTTTAAATAATTAATTTTAAATTTAATTTTATTTAAATATCAATAATATCAATAGAGGAATGCACATCTTTTAAAGAATCACCAACTAAAATTATTTCATTGGTGGGATCTAGTATGTTGGGTGTCAGTAAGTATTGGGTCATTACATCAATTCAGTGACCCTTTACTGCCATCATGCCCAAAATATATGGAGGGATGAAATAAAAAAAAAAAAAAATTGAGAATCATCGAAATATAACGGATAATTTATTCCTTTGATCCCTTCAAATTCTTTTAATTAATTAATCCTTAAAATTTCTCCTAAGTTTTGCTTCTTGTTGCAGATTGTTTTACAGCTTAAAACTTCCCAATAAAGGGGTGTGTGCATGCAGGTACACTGGGCATCCCCATGATCATATCCTGAATCCAATTTTTTATCCTGGAAAAAAGCGAAGCAGCGAAGGTGCTTGCTTCTTTCCTTTCCCCCCTTTTTTTTTTTTGTGTTTTTTGTTTTTTTTTTTGGCCTTTTGTTTCTCTATCTACTATTTTCTTGTATTCCCACTTGGCAAGTAGAATTTATCTCCCCTTTATTTGGAATTTGAGGTCCCATCTACAAGGAAAAAGAAAGACAATTACTGAAGACCCCATTGCCTGCTATTATTGACCTTGAAAATGCAAAAAAAAAAAGACTAGATATGCAGTCTCTTACCTCCTGGTTTTTTCCATCCAATTTCATGAGTTTTTTTTTTTTCTTGGTCATAGAATTTTTAATTTCATGGTACCTATAAAATTGATTTTGTTTTGTTTTTCTTCAACAGGGTTACGATGGTCATTGCATGGACAGAATGAATATAGGAGTACAATAAAACCGTTGATTCCGTCGAGACGCGGTTTGCTTTAAATAATATGGGCCCTACAAATAATCAACACACGGTTTACTTTAGATGAATTGAATATTAAAAAATATGGCCCTACAGATAATATTGTCTCGAGATACAATTAAGGCAAACACCCTTCTTAATCCCCTCAATTTTTTTCGGCAGTAAGTGACAACCCCCTGAACTAAAAAAGTGACAAATAAGCCTTTCAACCTCACGGTGGATGCAAAACAGCCCCTCCGCTAACTAACTTCGTAACGCCGTTTGTCATTGGCTTCCGTGGCATTCCACCTGCACGCCTTTGCATGTTTTTTTTTTTTTAGCCTTTACTTCATTTTTTTAATAATAATATATATTTTTAATTAATTAATTTTTTAAATTAATTAATTAATATTATATAATATAC